TGGGTTGATATTAACGAGGTTGATATTAACAGGGCAACCTGTACTACCATTATATATATGAGATGCGTGTTATTTCGAGACGCCCATGAGCACTATTTCGAAATCATAAATATCATTTTTAAAGGACCCGATTTTCGAAATAACACCCATGCTCGTTATTTCGCGGTTTTACGGTATGAAAAAATATGGTCAACATACAATTAGTTCTCAAAATAGTGATTTTTCAATTCACCATGAGACATCTGAACTTCTATAAGAATCAGTCAACAAATTTATAGCTTTAACATATATAATTTTACACTTCTAAATAATGAAATTTTGAAACTTTTGAACGTTGAATTTAAAGCAAAATAAACTAGTAATAAGTATTTCTTACGTGTTCAATTCATCGATGAGGCATCCGAACGTGTATTAGAAACTTCTTCCTACAAGCCAAGTCTTGCACTATTCAAATATTTAAAATTTTGCCTGTATTGTTATGGATAGATTAGCGGCGCAACCAAAATTTAGCAGATTGGCCCGAATTATAGGTCGGATTTCATCGGATTTAGTCTGTCATTAAGAAATAACAACTACTATGTTACGGCAAAATTATCATTTGGGCAGCTTTATTTAGTGAGTGGGCTATGGTTTCATTAGTAAAATTTTGAATGATCTTTGGCAAAATTAATCAACGACGGCCTATTCCGACTTATAATTCAGGCCGATCTGCTGAATTTAGATTGCGATGCTATTGTTATAGCTAGGGATGTTAAAAATTTTATGCGGTATCGGTTGATCACTAATGTTACGTAAACAATGTATAATTATCAAGATTATTATTACTATATGCAAACTATGCATGAATGTTTCTAATGAAGCTTAGCAATTTTTTTTTTATCAATAACGATCGGAAAAAACAGCAGCAGAAGCACTTTATTGTGGTACAATTATCACTATGATTAAGACTTGAAGGATGCAGATATAGGTAATAATGTTGGTACTTGTTATAAATACAGAGCTAGAATCAAAAAAGATGAAATAAGGCATTCATTTATTATAAAAAAGCCACAATAATGATATTTGATATAAAGAGAAAGATGAAAAATTAAAGCAAGACATCTAAATGTTATGGAAATGGAAAATGCAGTAAAAAAATCTTGATTATTGGCTTTCATAGACTTTATAGTTGATTAAAAATGATTACACATTAAAAATACATCAGAGTCAAATAATTAATAATGACCAAAAAGTTAAAATACGTTAGATCTAAAAAATGATTACATTAGTCTAATATGTCATCAAAAATTGTTAACAATAGCCAAAAAAAAATAAAATACGTTAGATCCAAAATAATTATTTAAACATTTTTTATTCTCTCACATAAAAAAAATTTTCAAGTTAAAATGGTTGAAAAAGAAATTATCAACATTTCGATTAAATTGGTTTGGAGTGAAACCAATTCATTGGCAACTTTCATTTGACCTTTAGAATTTACAACTGTTTTGAACTATGGTTATACAACAATCAAGAATCTAGATACACCAGATACAGTTCTTTTAAATGAAAAAAGTTACAAAAGGGTAGTGGATGGACTTGTTCATAACGATGCTCATAACGATATTCACGATTTACTATCATCTATTAATAATGTTTTCTTGGAAGAGGTAATGCTGGTAATTCAAAATATGTTGTTACATGTAATTTAGAAAAATACTCAAAAATATTCTAGGGTTCTCATCCAGAAGCCATGGTACGAGCCAATTACGTTAAATACACAGAGAAAAACCAGATAGAAAAAATACATATAAAATATTAAGTTGAACATAAGGAATTTGTATTAAAAAGACAATAATAATAAAGGCAAATGAGAGTGAATTAATGCTCGATAATCAAGTATCACTACAAGAACAATCTAAAGTGTCTCTAGAGCAATATAATGAACAAATTGGTTCTCAAGATAATCAGGTAAAAAGCCTATATATTTAATATTTGATTTTAGCAAGTAAGAGGTTTAACCTTTTTTTTGGTAATTAAAATGTACAAACATTGAAATGGCAGATAACCAATATCCAATTGTTTTAATTCCAAGTGTCAATACCGATATGGTGAAAACTTTAAGATTTAAACTTTAATTGTTACAAAGTAAAATCTATTGACATTATTATAAAGAAATCAACACAATTATAAATTTAATAAAATCAAAAAATCAAAAAAAGAAAACTACAGATATTGCAGATAATCGAGAATCTATAAATAAATTTTTTAAAGTTACGAAAAAAAATGTGAGAAATTTTTTTTCATTTTTAATTTTCAAATATTTTCTATGCTAACTTAGGTCCGAATTTCTTTTAGCAAGCTATGAATTTTATCCGTAAAGATAAGGTAAATAAATATTTTTTAAATGTGATTGTCTTTTGATGTTATCATATTTTGAATTATCAAATTTTAAATCTTAGCAGGGAAGTTCATTACAAATTGACGACTCCGAGTATGAGATTATTGATGATGGTGAATCATCGAAAGTTAATGAACAACTATATGAAATTCAAACAGAAGCCAACACATTATTTTCTGATCACCAGGTATAAATTGGTCTTTTCAAAAGCTTAATATTTGAATGTTCCTAACTTGGCACGAAATTTAAAGAACAGTCTGATGATTCACTGCCTTATGAAAAGGACAATAAACCTTTGCGTATTAATAGATTGGTAAGAAATTTTAATTAAGGTTATAAAATTATTTTTATATTTACAATCAAATAAATTTTGTTTTTTTGAAAGAAATCAAAAAAAAAGAAAACGTAAGGCTCCATTAAATATTTCACGTAAAAAGAAAGAAAGAGCACAAATACAGTACACCTCTTTATCTAATTCATCCGAAGCTGATTCTGATAGTATGTTGACTGTCTTTTTTTTCAAATTTAGCACAGTTAAAATTATAAATTGATATGTTTTCTATTGATAACTAGAAGATGAATCAACATCATCGGATGCGAATGATATAACCGAAGCGCAAATATCCAGTAAGTTATCACAAAAATAATTTATTCAAAAGTTTAATTAAAGTTAATGCTTTTAAATAAATTCCAAAGCCACTATTAATGAAATTGAAAAAAATAAGGCACTCCTCTTAAAAAATAACTTTGAAATTGTCTAAAAAAATCAATTAATAGTGTATGGTGATAAACTTTTTGCAAAGAACAGATCAATAGAAGATCTTCTGATTACAGATTTTAGTCACCTTTTTAATGATACCAATGTTATTAATTTTTTATTTCCACCATTACCTTCTTATTCAACTAATATGGAATCATTTGGTAACTATTTTAAAAAATGGACTGTACAATATAGTCAACTTAAGAATACAAAGGCAGAAGTTGAAGAGAAAATGTTAAAATTGTTGTATCAACTTAGGGGCGCATATTTAACATTGCTTGTAATACTAGCAAAAAAGAATGAACGAGATAAAAAAATGTCTTCATCTCACAAAGCCTTACGTGATTCAGTGAAGAAAAAAGTCAAATCAATTTTAAGAATCAGTGAAAGGCATGAATAATGATATTGGGTAGGAACATGGAGGCTTATTGAATTACTCAATATAACACATTGCCCAGTATCTATTCTTGTAGAATCAGGTCTTATAGCGAGATATTTAATAAGAGATGCAAATTATGACCAGTTTCTACAAAGTCTCTTGAATAATGTTGAAGCTTTCCACAAAGCCCCCAAGTTTAGCAAATCTTTGATATTAAGGTTAGGATTATAATTATATAATCTTGAAATCATGTTTGATTAGACATTATATAAGCACTAATATAGTATATTTTTCATAAAAGAATTAAAAAAAAGAATCATTTTTTAAATTAATATCTTGGGTCAAACCATTATTTCAGGTGTTCATCTAAAATAGCATGTAATTTAATGGGCCCATGGGTCTGTGAATTCACGTAATAAATATACTATAATTTTAATTAACATATCGATATTGACGTCAATAAATTTAATTATTCTTCACAAGAAAGTTCCATCAATACCATTTTATATTATACAAAAAGATTTCTAAAATTAAATATGTTAATGTGTCATTCCTAAAACAGTGTATTTGCATATTAATTAGAATTGCATACGTTTAAAAGTATATGAAATACAGAAAATGTACTTATTATGATATGTCTACACTTTAGTATAAATAAAGTATTAATATTAACTTTTAATTTATAAAATTAATTAGCCAACGCTCTTTTATTTGAATCTTTCATATAGTCAATTTAGTTCTAAAGAAGTACAAGTATTAGCAAATGCTCTTCTTGAAAACACTATGAATTGGATCATCATATATTCACAAAAATGTATTAATAGTGGGTGCCCTTCGTAAAAACAGCACTTTTTTTGGATATTAATGACTTTTTTATTTTAATTTTTTCTTGTTACCAGTTGTTTACACTTAAGCTTTATATATATTAAAATATTTGTAGAAAAAGCTTTATTAGTCACTCTTTTAATTTAAATATTTAAGTTATATTACAATTTACACTTTATAATTGGAATCATATTTTTGAATTTATTGAACTTTTAGCAAATTAAATTTAGAAATCTAAAAGTAACTTTGGTCAGGAGGATAGAGTTAACTGGTTAAGTTTATTATACAAACTAACTAGTTAAATTGTATTGTAAAATTCAAAAGTGGTCAGACTACTTAACATCCCTAGGATAGAGTATGTGTAAAACTTAGTTTTTTGCATTTTTTGTTATATTTGTTATGATTAAGAGTAACTTCGAACTTTTGTTATGTGTAACAAAAAGTTCGAAGTTACTCTTTTGATTTTAATAATATGTAACATCAAAAATATAACTTTTGCAGTGCATGAAAATTAGATAATCAATATCAAGATGTCATTCTTTGGAAGATTTCGAGTGTCAATATGCCATTTAAAGATATCTCAAATCCAGAAATAATTCTTTATATACTGCAAGGTAAAAGAGAAATTCATATAAAAAAGAATATATTGAACTTTATTTGGATTGTTAAAATAAAATTGACCAGAAACAAACACTGTTCTTGAAATTTTAGAATAATGTTTTTATGATGAGCTGTTCAAGAGCTTTAGTTCATTTTTCTTTCAATCGATTATCAATATCACCATCAGCTATTGCTTTCATTAAGTTAATAATAATATTAAAATAAACTTAGAAAAAGCTTAAACATGCAAATTCAATGTTAGACAAAACTCATTTACCTACATATTTGACTTTTTTATATCCAAAGTTTGACTTTATAGACGTTTCGCCTTTTGACCTTACTTCAATGCAAGGATAATGATCTTGCACATTTCCAAGTGGTTAATTTATTAGTATACTATACCTTTTCAATACCTTTTCAATATAGATTTACTGCAGCACCGGATGGATTGTAATACATCAATAGTAATCAATACTATATATTACTAAGTAAAGTTACTATTTCTTGCATGAAGATGTCTTATGACAAGATCATGGCTCCATCAAGCAAAGCCCGAAGGAGTATCTCTCAGGTGCCGTTTACGTCTCTGTCAATCTCAATGTTACAATTTTTGCATTTGTATATTTTTGACCCACTGATATTTTGTATATTACCACACCAACTGCATGTTTTTGAAGTGTAAACTTCGTTTTGAAAGATTACTTTGTTACTTTTTTCCTCAGATTTTGAGATCAATCTTTGTTTAAACTTGTAATGAAACTATCCTAACATTCTTTTCACCATTTTCTTGTTTATCTTTCTGGTCTTTCTATTAATCATGTTTGATATTTCAAATGGTGGGATCATGATGATGTCAAATTCGTCTGTTAAGAATTTGATCATTTTTCAATGAATCTCATTTTGTAATCTATAAATTTTTCTTCTCGTTCTATGCACGGCTTTGTCCAAATAAGAAGCTTTCTTTTTCTTACATTTAGATTTAGAATCAGATAATTTATCTTTTCTCGAGATGAGGTCATCCATGTATTTGCATAATCTATATATTTGACCTATGTCACGATTACCAATCTTCCAGCACCTTTTGTAGGAGAATACTAGGTAAATGGGGTTCTGACACCAGGATCTATCTAGATAGCATAAATTACGTTTTGTGTCTCATAAATTCATGCTTGTTTCTCGTGAACCCAATGAAAGATCCATTTGTTCGTTTTACGTAAGTAAGTGAGTTTACAATCACAATCTATTTTAATAGGAGGCCAATTATTAGTTCTTCTTTTTTTCTCTGATGGAAAGGTCTCAGATCTTGTTTGTTAATCACGATATCGTTAAGTTTGTGATGTTTGTGTTTCAAGAATTGTAATTATGAAAGTAAGATACGTGAAAGTGATTCAAATCTTTTTTTGAAAAATTCTGAGCATGAACACTCATCGTTTGCCTTAGATCTTTTTTTGATTTGAATGACAAGGAAGACTTTTTGATGTCTTTCAGGTTGTTTTGTATTATGTTCGTTCTAGCAGTTAGAGCTTCGTTGATACTTTCATTTATAATGTTCATGGGAACTTTGTCGTATAGATTTTTTAGTCAAAGATCTAACCATATCACGTTTCTAATAAATTTTCGTTCACCCCACACACACGTTTTGCGAAATTTTTCATCCTCAATGTCCAAATAAAGTTCTAACTTGTCTTTTAACATCTGAGGTTTTATCCATTTTTTTCGTTTGTTAGTGTTGAAGAAACATCTCTTCAATTCCATCTTACGACTGAATTATAAATGAATCTTGTCAATCCAAGCCATCTCTTTAAAATTTTTTTCTGTAAATGATTCAGATACGTCTTGATCAACAATGTTCTGTTCAAGCTTGTCTCGAGTTTCTGTTTCTTTGTTTTTCGAACAATTATCATCTTTTTTCTTTTTCCTTTCTTTCCTGTATCTTGCGGCTCTCCGTCCTTGTATTCTACAAATGAACACAGTGTTGATAGCGAGGATATCTTGAGATAATTTATGTTCATCGGAATTTGACTCGTTGAAGAGAACCATGAGTTTCATAGAATGTAATGAGAAAATGTACTCGATGAGTTCGTACACGAATCTGCATAATCTGTCTCTGTGGGTAACCACAACTTCTAAGACCATTCCTTTATTTGATCGTTCCAATAAGGTTTTAAGAACATTTCTTTTGAAATTGATGTCTGACCCAATATCACTAATGGGTTCGTAATTGGGGAATCTGGATCTGAGGAGTTGCTTTTGCCTTTCAAGGTCTACTTTCTGTTTGTTGCTCGAGATACGTGCGTACAAGAAACTTTTCTTTTCGGTAAAGGAGGTGGTTGAGGTATCATTTTGAGTAATCAATTCTGGAAAAAAAGAAGAAATATCATAGAGACGAGTCCCAGATGGAGACATTTTCGCAGATATCTTTTCTTGTTTTAACCAATGTCTCAAAGTATCAGACGAAATTCCAAGTTTTTTAGTTATTTTGTGAGCAGATAGATACATGAGAAAAAAAAACTAATCCTGAAACAATCCTTATTTATTCGATTTTTAATTTATTAATTTAATCTAATAAGGGAAGTGTCACTTATTACGTAAATATAGAGTCCTCAGAAAAATGTCAATTGACCATGTTCCATACCCTCAAAGTCAATTTTTTGACAATTATAAGTCTTAAAGTAATTAATAATATAATTATATAAATCTTGCATATTTTATAAACCTCTTGCATTTTTTATGTACTCCTTGCATAATTGCGCATAATTAGGCATAATTATGTATGGATATGCATGATCATGCATAATCATGCAAGGGGTGCATAAAAAAATGCAAGGGTTTATAAAATATGCAAGATTTATATAATTATATTATTAATTACTTTAAAATTTATAATTGTCAAAAAATTGACTTTGAGGGTATGAGACATGTTCAATTGACATTTCTCTGACACTCCCCTAAATCCAACAAAAAAGAGTTTTTCATCAGCTTAATAAGTGTTACTATGCAATTCATTATTTCATATATTGATAAGCATTACTAATTAAAATTTTTATGCAGTACTGTTATAGCATTTAAATAAAACAGGACATTGTGATACATTTTTGATGCATATAATTATGTAATTTCTATTAACATTAGCATTAGAAATTTATTCGCATGATATATAACGATAATGACAACTAAAGAGATGCAACCAATGGACATCGACGATATGCAAAACACAGATACTTTAGGCACTAATTCCAACATTTTAAAAAATGTAGTCAGAAAACTAGCTGAAATTACACAACCATTTGTTCTTCTAATTAATTCTGTATTTATAATCGTATCGGAAGCAGTGAAGGTTTATGAAAATGCTAAGCATAACAAAAATATTTGTGCTTCACTATTGATTAGAGTTAATATTGCAAAGACCAATGTTGAAATTTTACAACTCCAACCTAGAATTTGTGATCATAAAGCATTCAATCAATTTGTAGAAGTATTAAAGAAAATGAAAGATTTCATGAATAACATTTCAAACTTGTCAGGCTGAAAGAAATATGCATTGGCAAATTCAGTTCATGAAACTTTTACACAATTGATTTCTGAATTCGACAAAAGCATAGATGATTTACATTTCACGATAACTATTTCTAATAAATAACAAAGAAAATTAGACCAAGAAAACCTCAATTGTGACATTAAAAAATAAACCAGGTAAAATTATGAATACCTTAAAATTTTGTTCTATATAAGTAATCTTGTATTTTTTAGTTTCTGGAAATAATTGTCAGAGGTGTTACAGACATGAAGTCAAATATCAACACAATTATTAACGAAGTGCAAATTATTAATAAGAAGGTAGATCATTTAATTCATGATCCTATTAATAATATGATAAACTTGAAAGCAGTTAAAATTAATCCAAAAGAGTTAGATGATCTTCCCAACACAGAAACAAAAAATCTATTGTTAAAAAGTTATACCGAGAGAATGATGTTGCTTGCAAATTTACAAACATCATAGACAACGAGACATCAGAAAGTCAAAAGATTCAAGCGCAACTTGTAATTTTAGGAAAATTAAAAGAGTGTCCAAATATTTTAAGATTTTATAGGCTCTCTAATGTGAATGATGACCAAGTTATAGTGTTTGAATGGGCAGATAAAGGAAATCTCAAAGAATTATATGAAAAAAATGATATTAATTGGGATGAAAAAGTTCACATTGCTTTAGATATTTGTTGAGGTTTGATATTTTTACAAAGTTGTGATATCCTTCATCATGATATTAGGTGCAAAAACATTATAGTAAATTATATATTTTTCAGAAAGTTTTCTAGACTTGTGTTTTTTTTTAATTATAATCTCCTTTCTTTTTATTAACTATTAGATGACCATGCGATATCAACCAAAAATTGTGAATTTCCAATATTCTGTGAAACAGACCAAAATACTATATTCATTGAAAATACAAAGGACATAGTGAATTGGATGGTACCTGAAAAAATGTCTGGGGTCGATATAATTTTAAATGTGAAATTTTCAGGTCAATATAATTATAATACTTTATATTTTGCATATTGTACATAATAATAGTTATCGTGAAACATTTTCATTACTTTTTGGCATATTATGTCTATGATTATAAATCACATGATAACATCGATATTGAATCACCAATACCTTACACAGCAATTATTGATGATTTAATTCTAATATTGCAGTTTTGGAATGTTACTTTGGGAATTGACATTTGAAAAAATTCCATAAAAAGATTTAAACATGAATACAATAATGAACTTTGTTGAAGATGGCAGTCGCGAAAAGATCACTTTTGGACAAGCAACTTTAGAATATCAAAGGCTTTAGAAAGGTTTAAAGGAAACCATTATTGAAGGTAAATATATTTATTAAGGAAAATTTCAGACACAAATAATCTTTATTATATTATTTTAATAAAATAATTTATTATATTATATTATTAAGCCTGGAAGGGAAACCCAAAGAATAGAATTTTGCTTAAAGACATATTCCAAAAGTTTCATAATTTATTATTAAAATGCGATCAACCACACTATCAAACTTCACTTTATCCAGATGGCCATTTAGACTTGGATAAATCAAGATCATCTGAAACATCTTTAATAAAATCACTTGAAGAAGGCATTGAATCTCACAAAAAGAAAAAATATGAGGATGTCTGGTGTATTTTTGAATATCATGCTAAGTTAAGAAGTAGTACTGCAAAGTTTTGGAAGGCACGTTATCTAGCTGATGGAATATTTGTAAAACAAGATATAGTACAGGCTGCTGAATTATTTAAAGAAGCTGCTGAAAATAATAATATGAATGCCTGCTTCCGCTATGCACTTTTGATGACAGATAAGAATTCAGATGTAAAACTTAACCGTGAAAGGTTCATCGAATATCTGACAAAAGCAGCTGATGCTAGCAATGCTATAGCTCAATATAATTTGGGTGATATGCATTTAAAAGGGAAATTATCATTTTACTCAAATGCAGATTTGGGTATTAAATATTTAAAATTGGCTGTATTAAATAGTCATTCAGAAGCTAAAGTGATTTTGAAAGAAAAGCATATAGAAATTAATGAATAATTAATGAGATAATTATAAGGATAAATTTGGTTTAGATTAAATATAAAAAATATTCACTAGAACTGCGTAAAGTTTTACTATTACAAATAACTGATCAAGTTTCTACACTCACTTTTAAAACTGTGGTGATCTTTTTTATCACATTTCTCATACTATTATAGATGGGTGTCTAAATTCAGAAAGAAAATTAAAACAATAATTACAGTAATAACCAAATAGCATTGTTGCAATTTTCTTTTTTAAATTTAGACATCTATTTATATTTCATACCTTTAGTAGTAGACTTATTTTTATTATTATATAAAATAATGTACCAAACTTTGTTGCAAATATATTAATATATTTTCAAGTATCTCAAATTATTTTAAATAAATTAAAATTTTAAAAAATGTATATATTTTATTTCTAGATAAAACTATTCAATGCAAAGTTTTACATATAAGCTTAAAAATCACTAATCCTAAACTTAAAAATTGACTGCTTTAAAAAAATTAATTGAAATGTGATATAATATGATAAACTAAATGGCTAAGTTTTGACAAATCTCACATTCATTTTTCTTTGTAATTTTAACAATTTTATTTCTAAGTCCGGAGGTTCAACATTATAAATAGATTTAATTATAAGCTAGCATTTAATTTTAATTAAATATATTGTTTTTAATTTCAAGATATAAGAACAATTGTAGAATAAATACATATAGTCAGACCTTTCTAAATGCATTACGACAGGACCATACATAAAAACGTGCATTTAGAGAGGTATTGAATTTAGGGAGGTTGCAATTGGGGTTTAACTGTATTTAATTTATAAATAAAATACTACATCAAAATACTTTTTGCATTTAAGATTTTATCCTTCTCAACCTAGATTTAACTAATAGAATATTTATTAAAATATCATTGTATTGTATACTAATTGCAAGCACTATATAATATACAATAAAAATATATTTATAACTTATAAAAAAATATGTATATGTATATAATATAAGATACTGTATTAAAAATTCTATTTCATGTTAAACTATTTTATATTCTTAAAAAATAAACCAACATTGTTTTCTGAAACATAACTATTAAAAATCAATCACTATTATTATTTTCTTGATTTTTTTTAATCATTACCAACTAGAATAAATTGCCAAATTATAATTTTAGAGTTGACTTAACAAACATTTAAATACATATTAATAATAAACTTACATGAAAAATCATCTCCTATTTGAAGTTCAATATCTATTGTAGCTAAATAATTATTAAAATTCAAAGACTTTAGTTTTCAAATATGTATCATAAAAACCTTTGACGCAAATCTGAATACTATATAGTTATTCATAAAAATAATTCTAAATACCTTTTATTTCTTTTGAGTTAATACATTTGCTAGTATACATTGAATCTGGATGGTATTGTGTGATATCTGGTAATGTCTTAATAATTTTATTAGCCTCTAAGAATTTCTTTTCTATACAAAGTTTATCAGAATAATGATTATTATAGACATATTTCCATAGATTATAAAGGTTTAAATAAATTTCATTTGCAGTGGGCCATTTCTGTGGATTTGGGTCCATGCATTTTTCAGCTAATCTGCTATAGCAATTTGGAGTTCCAGGTGCAAAGGCTGGTTGCAAACCACGAATAATCTTGATTGCAAGATCATTATCAAATAATAAACCATCACAATGTCTCTGCCTGGTTGACATTTATGCCATAATAACACCTAGTCTATAAATATCAGAGCTGGTGTATATCTTCTGCCTTGTAAAACTTCAGGTACAACATAAGGCATAACTCTCAAAATTTTATCATTAGATTCATTATTGCTATTTTCATCAATTTTTTTCGATAATCCAAGGTTTGCAATATAAGAAAATACAGATCTGCTAATATTATTTTGCAAAATATTTCTGCTATGAAAATTACTGTGCGTGTATCCTGCTTTGTGAATTTTTACTAAATCACTTGATATATCAATAAGTTGTGATAATTTACGTTCTCAAGTAAGATTTTTAAAATTATTTTCTAAAAACTTATTAAGACTTCCACTATTGGCAAATTGAAGTACCATTAGATAATCACCAGCATTAAATTTAAGATGTATACTATCTTCTGTACTTTTAGTTAATCCATATATTGCTAATTCACTTCCCATTAATCTATATTGTATATGATTTTCAAACTTATTTAAATGAATTTACATTAATTTATTTGTTTAATATGTAAAATATTTAAATTTATGACAACAAACTAATTTTAACTTACTTCTTTTAAACATTGAGAAAGATCTTGAGTATTATTAGGCAAG